GGAAGTAGGAATGCCCAACCTTCCTTCCAAGGAGTGGCTGGTGGATTTGAACCCCCAGCCTTCTGGTTAGCAGTCAAGTGCCTTAGGCACTATGCTACCAGAGCTCCACTGTTTACCCTTAAGAAACCAAAAAGAATGGGACTACAGCCATGAATATATATATAGGTTTGACAGAGGTTATCTCTACCTTAAGTACATGTGCTGCAAACATATCCATGAATGTAATACAGCATACAGGGCACAAAGTTATGAAAACGTTTTAATTATAACCAAACACCTTGAGGGAATGAATCACAGAGCATGGAGGCTCAGGACCTTAGTCTCAGGGCGCACTAAGATCAATTGGCATAACCTAATCCACAAAGACAGTGTTCTTTCGTGAGTAGCGACTGGGGTCTGAAAAGCTTGTGAGTACTCATCTAAGGTGTAACTATTGGTCTCTCTCCATCTAGAGCAAAGAAGAATGAAGAAAATAAAAAATACAAGAAACAATTAGTCCATTGGACTAATGGAGCACATGAACCCCAGGCTCCATGACCCTGAGACAAGGACAACTAGATGGTGCCCAAATATTCTGAAAGGGATAACAATAATAGGTCCCAGATAGAGTAGGGGAAAATGTGGAACAGAACTAAACATCATTAAATAAATAAATAAACAGGCTTACTGGTCTGATGAAGACTGGTGGAACCTTGAGACTATGACCTTTAGACACCCTTCAAACTAGGAACTAAAATTAACCACTGCGGCTTAACAAACAATAGACCTATAAGGTGAACAGTAATGTCAGGAAGGTATGCACTCATATGGACAGCATTTCCAAGAGAACACATCTGCCCAGGGATAGAGTTAAGAAGGCAGGAGGGGATGGAAAAGAAGCACAAAGGGAAGGGGTAGGCAAGGGTAGGGGTGAGGACAGAGAAAGTAGGAAGAATGTTGTTACATTTTAAGGATTGCAGTAAACATCATAAAACAGACTGTGTATGAATTGTTAAATGGAAAACCAATTTGCTCTGTAAACTTTTATTCAAATCACAAGTAAATTAAAAAAACAAGAAGAAGAAAGAAAGAAACCAAAAATCCTCACTACTGGATGAATAAGAAAAATCATGAGAAACTGATCAACAGAGAAAACACTGAAGTAGTCAAAGATTTAATTTTACCTACATCCACCATCAACATCCACAGAAGCAGCAGTCAGGAAATCAAATGATGTATTACATTGGGCAAATCTGCTGCAAAGAACTCTTTACAGTGTTCAAAGCAACGATGTCGTTTGGAGAACTAAGGTGCACCTGGCCAAAGCCATGCTATTTTCAATGATGTCATATTCATGCAAAAGCTAGACAATGAATAAGGAAAACCAAAGAAGAAACTATGCCCTTGAATTACAGTGTTGGTGAAAAATATTAAATATACTATGGGTTTCCAGAAGAATGGTAA